TTGAAGCGACGTTCCTTCTTAACGTGAATATCTTGTCAGCATAACTGCGTCCCGGTCTAAATCCAGCTTTGTTAGGATTCATCTCGTACTGCCATAAGTTTTCTAACTAGAAGAGAATTTTCTCCGAGATGTCTAAACTAGTAGCTAATTCTTCGGTAGCTATCCTTTAGTCAGTAGATTTAGATTTTTTTAGGAATTGGGATCAAAGTTGCTTTGCCCCAGTCATCTTGTGTTATTTTTTTCTTCCATACCTGATAGTATATTTGTTGGAAGCATATGATAAAAGATAAAAGATGATGGATAATATTTAAAGTGTTTTTCTGTAAGAGTTTTCCTCTTCCGTTCCATATCGCTCCAATAGCGACCCTCCTTGTTGCGATCTTAATTCATCAATTCCTACCAGTATATTTTAGTATGGAAATGACTGACTTCCGAAGAGAGCCTTTAATTTGGACCAGTATTTATTTGTCGTTTGAGAAATATCTTTAATATTTATATTAAGATGATTCAATAATTCAATTTGAAATGATGTTACTTATCGAGTTCTTCGTGGCTGCATCGTGACTTACGCACGCATTCTAGTCTCCTCCAATTATGACCATGTCATCTTTCGGCATTAGCAGTTGAAATTTTTTACATAAAACTTATCCTTTTCGCGAACGTAAACTAGGAGCATACAGATATTCGAAGTATTGAGAATTTTCCTTCGAAGCGGGTATAGGCCAAGATCTAGTATTTTTTCAAACATTGCACCATTTTGTTCTTCAATGATCAAAACCTCTGTTCGTAACCAGGTCTACTAATTGCCTGAGACTCCAAATGAGGAAAGAGATTCTGAAAGATAGGTAACCTACACGATATTTGGAAAGAGTGTGGAAGTGTGGATTGCTTTGCAATGTCCATAAGCCCCCTGACGTTCTTACTATCGGGCTGGGAGTATTTATCATGTGCATCAAGGCAAAATCCTTTCGCAGAGTCATTTGAGGATAAAATGATAAGTGGCTCAGCGATGACCACTCGAATTTTGAAATCATGACAGATTTACCTTATTTTTTTTAAAGAAAAACAAAGAATATAAATTAAGAAAAAATAAAACAGAAAACAAAAAAATTAGAAAATAAAAATAAAAACAAAGTTTTTTATAAGGCAAAAATATTAAACTAAATTTATTTTTTATATTTTATTGCTTGCTTAAGTTCCATATATATTTATAAGTTTTTAAATTTAAGTTTAAAGGAAAGCTTATTAATAAGCTACGCAAGCTCAACCAGAAATGGTCAGCATTAATCTCTTCTTCAAAATTAATACACCATCCACAGCAGACTTCGGTAAAAACTTCGGTAAACATCCAATTATTTCAGTTCCTCCCCCTCTATATTTTAATAGGAAAATCAGAAAAATTGAATGATTCTGTGAATGATTACTATGAAAACTTTGTGTGAAATTTACTTATGAAAAGCCGGCGCACATAAATTGTATTTTAAAATAAATACCTTAACAAATATCCAAAGGTACCTTAACATATACCTAATATACCTAATAATTACGGGGTAATGTAAAAACAGCCAGAATTATAATCCAACTACTTTATCTCAAAATAAATCGGATAGGTTGACTCAGAAGTGTACTACTAACAATTCTATTCTATAATTCTGTAATTATAATAAAAATTTGTTATTTTTAAACTGTTCACTAAATTCATTAAACAACTCATAACTAGGTAAATCTGAACTGAAAGTTCACTTCTATAATTCGCATTATTTCTTTTGTAGTCAAAATTCTGAAGTAAGATACAAGCATAACAATAAAAATATACCAGTCCAAATAAAAAAATTTCATTAAATGCAAAAATTCTAATTCGCCAAAAATTATTTCCAGAAACGAAATTCACAGTTTCACTTTGATTTCAAAAAAAAAACTGACCAATACTAAAGCTTATTCTAAAATATGCGAAAAACACTATTATCACAAATATTAAAATATATCGCTTGAACAAAAATAAAAATTATAGATATTTTCGATAACAGTGATCAATACGAATCAAAAAAATAATAAAACAAGTATAAAACGCAAAATAATAACTCAGAATAAAACTTGCAAAAAAAGCCTTAAAAAATACCAAGGAGGAATAGGTAAATTATACATTAGCTGATGCGGCTATTTCAATATGGAAGAAGCATATAAATGAACAAATAAGTAAAATTTAAAAAAAGGTTATGGAATAAAAAATTTGGAAATTTGCCAAATTTGTCATTAAACAGTTTAGCGATTCAACAAAATTCCAGCAACAACATGGAAACTTTAAATTTGACTTTTTGCTGCTGAATTTAGATAAAGCTTGAACATAGGCAGAGAAAAGATGTGAAAGATGCGTGATGTTATCAATTCTTTGAAGTTTCATTCAGTCGATGAAGTTTTTTCGAGCCTTTTAAGTCGCACTGCAATTGAACTATTATTCTACACTTTTTCAAAAGATATAAGAATTTCAAAAAATTTTTCTATATTGAAGCTTAAAATCTAAAAACATTTAAGGAATGGACAATATTTTAGCAGATACCACTGATATAATGTATTTAAATTATAAAATCAAAAATTCACTGGCTGAATTAAAATTAGAAAGCATTAAATTAAGTCAATAAATTAAATTATTATGCTTGAAGAGTTTTAAAAAAAAAATGTGAATGCAACTGTTTGCTAGAATAAGCTCCTCAGAAAAGGAAAGACTGAGACTGACGTCGTTCATAATTCCTTTCTAATGCTTCTGAGACTCGATGTCGAGCTTCCATCGATTGAAATGACACACCAACGCGTAAAAGCGATTCATTTTCTTCAACTGACAACATCATATCCATCTCGATTTGATTGCCAAGTACACTGGCACGCTTTAATATTAACATTAACTACCTTATCTAGGATAACTTCTAGGTAAAAAATACTTTTAACCCTTTTAAAAAATATATTCCTTCAATTTATCACAAAATAATATTAAAACGGAAATTTAACTGAAAAAAGAAAAAAGCGTTTACTCTGACGGATTTAGGAAAATTTTTTCAGAAAAAGAAAGAAAAAAAAATTTTTCTTTATAAATAAAATATAAAATCATTTATTTGAAATTAATGGGAACTTTATCTATTTCACCATATTATTAAGCAGAAATTATGATTAAAAATACAGTATAATATCGAAAAGAAGATATTTGCATAAGATTTTTGATAATAAGCCTTCGCTTCATTATTCAACAAATTAATAGTTAATTTCATTAATTTTAACCTTCAATAAAAAAGTAATTCCCAATATCAAATAAAATGGGAGAATCTTGCCTGATTTTCAGCATGAAATTCCACCAAATTTTGAGTAACTAGAGTCGCCCGAAGCAATTTGGCCAGCAGTTCAGGAGAAATGAAATTAGATTCAATATTTAATACGCGCAGTGAAGGTGATGTTTCCAATAATTCAACAAGCCCCTGAAATTTTAAAAAATCGAAAATTGTGAAAACCATCTGAATGCGGATGTATTAAATTGCTAAATTTATATTATATTGAAGCATAACCCATAATAATCTAGAAAAATTTTAGGCAAAAAATTCGCAAAATTTTGCTTGTATTATTTTTGCTTGTAAATTTTATTATTTTACTATTTACAATAGATTGGAAATAGTATTATACGCAAAAAACTTTTTATGGGCATTTTTTATACCATCCTTAAAGGAATACTTGGAATATTCATTCAATGTAGCTAGCCAGCGAAGCGAGCTTAACTATAAATGGTGCGGATTCATGGAAAAGAGAATAGAGATATGGGATTTTCAAAATTATTTGAATATTTCAACTTTTAAATATCGATTCTAAACCACTTTTTACCGCATATTTCCAATTATAAAACAAAACATTTATAGAAACACTCTATTGTGATAATTATAACAATTATTCAAGCAAATTTTTGCCTGATTGATTAAATGCATTGCCTATCAAAAAATATTGAAAATTGAATTAAATTTTTTGATTTCAATTTTTGCTCAAATATTTTCAAAACTTAACTAATCTAATAGCAAAAAAACTACAAACTCTTGCTTCCTGATCGGATATTGCAGTGTTTGCCATAGAAAGTTTTCTGATTTGCTTGTTGCCACATGCTGCTCTAATTAACGCCTTAATGCGTTCTTTCGATATTCGTTTCATATTATTTATATTGATTTCTGTTAGGTTTTTTTCATTCGATTCCAGCTTACTAAAATGTAACTGATAATTTGCAGAAAAAAACTATAATTTTTGTCCAGATAAAATACAGACATCAGAAATAACAAGACTGATTAATGAAAATCGATGAGCCAAAGATAACCAATTTTTTTCATAATTTTTTGACCACTTGCCTGATACAATCTTCAATATCCGTGGTGTTTTCGGGTTCTTCAGGGATAATTTTTGGTTCAAAGGATCGAACGACACCACGAAAAGTAGTTCCAGTTGATTCATCTTGACTTTTGCCCTGAAATTCTAATCTTTAAATATTTGTTTATTTTAGGATTTTGGGATTTGGGACTTTTTGAAATGAATCAATGAAATAAATCAGAAATTCATGGGTTTCAATGATATTTTGAAACTGGCATAACTGCCGTTCATTAAAGAATTTTTTTAAATATTTGCATTCATGAACTGCTTAAACATTTATAAGAACAAATATAATTTTTTATTTTTTCATTTTTTCATTTTCATTTTTTTTTTATTTTTTCATCTTGGTTCCTAAAAATTCAAAGATAATTCAAAGATATCCGTTTTTTTAAACAAAATATCCACAACCTTCAATGCATTATAATATTGAGGTTGATTTAAAAGATTATGCATGCCCAAAATGCCAGCCAAATCGACAAGATCTTTCTCAGGAGCATCATTAAGCGCTTCATCTAGCTCATCATCATCGTCTACATCCAATTCGATTGGCATTTCCATTTCTCCATCTGCTTTCTCTGCATTTTCACCTTTTTTTGGTTGGAATACTTTTCCTAGAAAAACAAATGCTATTTAAAAATTACAGTTGAGTGTTAAAATATGTTTCGATTTATTGGAGCATATTCGTTCAATTATACAAAAAACTGAATTGAAAAACTGAAAATTGACAATGAATACTTTGGGTACTAAATTTATTTGTCCAATCCTACTGGAAATTAGAGGCTATGTTTTAGTTTCCTTAAAAGAGGAAATACTTTTGGAAAGATCATTAACACGAAATATTAAATATTGTGAATATCTAATCATTTTTTCCAATCTCGAATTTTAAATATTAGTGGTTAAAAAAGTAACTGATAGTTGCCAAATCTGAAGTTCCGTCCCAGATATATCTATATAGCAAAAATATATTTCAAAAGCATTAAAAAAATGAATCTGGTGAAGCTATTAAAAAAGAATTTTAAAAAAACCGCGCTTGACTCCAGGACTAAATGGAACGTATTCTTCCCAATCTTGCTCTTTCTTCGCTGTTTCTTCTAGATATGACAAAAGTTTCTCCCTTTGAAAAGGCCCCGTTGGTGCTTTATCTGTTTGATTTCGACAACGTTGTGATGGTGGTAAAAGTGAATTCTGTAAATGCATTTATCAAAATACTTCTACTATTTTTAAAAATCAATCTTCGAAGAAATGATAAAATTTAAAATGATCCATCTCTAACGACCTCACTTCATAACTTCATAACAAATTTCAGTTCTTCTTCAATTTTTTTCCCTAAAAACATCAAAATTATGAAGGAAAAATTCAACAGAGATAAAAAAATGATTTATCTCCAAGAAACCATGTTCAAATGCTTCATAAGAGGAAAAGATAATGAAAAATGAAAAAATAGAGGAAAACAAACATCTGGATCGAAATCACAGTTTAGATCTTCCAGTTCTTCCGGAGACAATTTTGATAACAATACTTCCAAATCCGTATCATCCAAGTCTCGTATATCTTTACCATAAAGTTTTAAACCACTAATACCAGAACGATTAATCGGTTTTTTAGAAGGTGCAGAAATACTTTTCTCTTCTGTATAATAGCTGCAAAAATTTCGAATAGGCTTTTTTTAAATATTCTTTTAATCTTTAAAATATACTAAAAACTGAAGCTGAAAACTACTGAATTTAATCTTTAATTAATCTTTACTAAATTTAATCGTCATATTAAATAATAAAATTAAAAGATACTTCCATTTTATCCGATTAGACATATATTTCCCTATTTATTTTGCACTTTTGCCTTTTATTTTGCACTTTTTTACCTCCGCCTTCTAACACCACGCACTACTTCTGGTTTGGATGGATCCACTGAATACTAGTGTGAAACATTTTCACCAGACGACTATTGGAAGATAGAGCCACAAATGAGCTCAATAGCCTTTCAGATTTGGAATAGTCATTCCTTTTAACGATAGCTGTACTTCATTTAGGGAATATAAACCAAAATCTTCATTTGAAGCAACAATGCAACTCAACCACTATGCCCGCACCTTTTTCACAAATAATCTCCTTTCTCACTTATCAAGAATTGAATCTAAAGCCGTATAACATAATATGGACAGAAATTTAAATAACGCAAATCTTGAGGATAAAGAAATAATTTAAAAAAGCGAAATTTAAAAAAAATGAAATATGAAAAAATTTAAAATCCAATTAAGTCAATTAATTTTAAAAAATAAAATAAAAATTTTAAAAAGATTGGAAAATTTTAAAAATTTCAGCGAAAGGAATTTCAAGTAAATTTTATTAAAAGAATAAAAGCAGAATTAAGTTGGAGCTTGGAGATGCCATAAGTCGGAAAAATAGCGCTAACTGCTCCAACTCAACTCAAATTTCTTCTTCAATAATCAAGCAAACTAACTCGCTTTTGTTGATGGTGGATGACATAGCCTTCTTTATCCGAAAAAATTCACAAATATTTGCTGCAAATAATTGCAAACAATTAATATAATCATGGGTCAAGGGTCAAGGGTCAAGGGTCAACGGGAGAAAAAAGCAAAAACGAGAAGCTTCAACAACACATGAAAAACTATGACCTAAATTTTCAGAAAAATGGGAAACAATTTCAAGCCGGTTAAGAGAAATATGAGACCAGATTCAGATCTGACGCGCATATGATCTGATAATTTTGGTGATACTAAAGTGATAATGCGATGGCCGACGTAAATGGCCTTGCGACCCGACGACTCCTAAAGCCAACTTAGTTCGAAAGTCAGCTTAAGTTGCAGTGAGTCGACAGCGAACGAACGATCCGAAATTCCTATAACGACGGAAAAAATCGATTGAGATTTATCCGGGAGGCCGCAGGGTTCTCTATTCGTCGAACTTTTATTCGAATTTTGCATATTTTTGGCTCGTCGCCAACAAGTCAATTAATTAGTCGGTTATTGATCTGTTAGTTCTAAGTAAAATGGAACCGACATTTGTTTTCAGATTATTCGGTTAAAGTAAATCCAGTCTTTTATGTCATTGGCAACGTATGGTCAGAATAATCCCCGCCCTCTTGCAAACCCCACCCACCGCTTGATATGGGTTTCTTAAAATACGTTGCTTTATACATCGCGGCAGTGGCTAGCTCTGTCAAAAAAGTTAGTGATAGATTATCAGCAAATACTGGATTAATATCAGATTATAGAGAGTACTTTTGAATTTGCCTCAAGAGACGGTTGTTTTGTTAAGTTCCGCCCACCTTAATTGTAAAATAAAAAATAAAAAGGAATCATTTAAATTATTAAATCATTATCATTATTATTAATCATTATTATTAAATCATTATCATTATTTAAATCATTTAAATTCCTTTTTACAAAATAAAAAGGAATCATTTGAACTAAGTTTGAAATTGAAATTTGAGATTAAAAATTTTGCATTGATTGATCAGCTGATCGATATCGGAAGTTTTTCTTTGGCGGCGATTTTAATTAATCTTTTTTTTCACTGATTTTGCATTCCAAAAATTCGTCGTTGGAAAATTAATCAGTTCGATTCATTTCGGTTACATGGCCAGCAGCGTCAACTTATTTTTCTCATTTATTTTGCCCATTTGCTTCGCAACGGTAAATTTATTTCACCTTTATGATCTCTCGCATTCTTTACTTGTTAATTGGTGAGCACAGGGAGCATCGTCGACCACATAACGGGAATGTCCCTGTAGGCGATGTAATTTGGAACTTTTTTAAATGGATGTTTTATTGGGATCTAAAGGAAGCTTACGAAAGCGTATTATTAATCTAAAAATTTTTTTTCGCTTCACTGAACTTTTCATCAATAATTTTTGCTATTTTGGCGATTTTTTATTTAATTCTATATTTCGTATACTGTGACTTTGCAGCGATTTCATTCTTTTAAAATATTTCAAAAGTTTTGAAATTCGTGAAAATCTTTAAACAGTTTTTCACTAAAAAAATTTTGGATTTTTATTTGATGAAAAATAAAAAAATTTGCCTTTTTGATTGTTTTGTGCGCTTATCATTTTGATTTCGATTTAGCCTAGCTCGGCTATAATTTGGAATATGGCCAGAAGAAGAAATAAAAATGCTACTTAATCCCCGGCAGCCGACCGGATTTTTTAGTGGCAGATTTATTCGTGTTGAGAGTAAAAGATGAACCTCTGCCCATCATTATCACAGTCACTATTGTCCCTTCTCGAAAAGCTGACTATATTCTAACTAATTTCTAACTTGTGTATCTGCTCCCGGGGGCGTGGTTTTTCATTATTTTAGTTGGTTGATTATTAAATGTGAATGAATAAATTGATGGTAATGATCGAATGAATGAATTGAATGCCTCATTCGTTCTTCTTGCTTTTGAGTGGATTAAAATCGATTAAAGGCTTATGTATATTTAGTAGTGAATTCCTTATTATTTCCCTTCGGATAACATTTAAATGTAAAGTTTGGATATTTTTATTTAAAATGGCTCTTATTTGTTAATTTATTTCTGCAAATAACGGAATAAAGAATTGTTTTAATTTTATCATCGAATTATTCTTCTTTGAATAGGATTTTTGGTGTCGTAAAGTGAGTTATTTGGTGATGGAAGCACAAGCGGATGCTCGCGGATATTTGTTCAACGAAGAATCCTTATTTCTTACCGCGTCCCCGGGCCCGGGCCAACACACAATCCCTACAAGTGGCTAATTTCTGGGATTTTCCCGCGCTTCCATAAATCCAGTTTTGTCGCTTTATCAGCCTTTACCGAATCAAAATTCTAAGGTTGCCTGTATGCTGAAGTGTATGCAGTTTTTATCAAGTCTCTAGCACTGTTCGCATTATTAAATGCAATACAAATTTTATTATGCTTTACTTACTAACTCGGATTTAGTTTTAAATTCAGTTATTTTTAATTATTTAAAAATCGATGATCTCATGGAATATATTATGTGCCATTGTTATCACTATTACCACGTTTTTATCAGTGCAACGCTAGAAATTTTATTATACATTATTACTACTATTGCGATAATCTATCACATCCGACATCAGATTCTATTTTCTTTTTCTAACATTTCTGATTTGCTTAGTTTCATCAATCAGGCATTAAGATGAGACTTTTCTAAGAGAGTTATTTGAATTATAGGTGAATCGTTCGGCAGCCATCCAGAATTCACTTTTAATGATTAATATTTACTAACGTCAACGGATAAAAATCAAATCCATTGATGGCTTCCATTATTTTTTAAAACTATTGAAACTTATGCTTTTTAGACATAATATTTCGTTTCTTTTTTCGTCGAAAAATTTTTATGGTTATTTTTTTATTAAAAATACATTTTGAAATTCCATAAAAATTCAGAAATATTCAATTGATTTCAAAATATATATTATCGTTAATAATAATTATTGTCAAAATTGTAAATAAAATTTAGAGATGACTTTGTCTTCAAAAACCTCATAAAAGTTCATTCCATTTCACATCCGATTTTTACCAGCAAAGTGAATTGCATAAAAGGATTAGATGGGAGATGGGCGGGAAATTTATCGGTTAACCACTCCCCCGTTAATTGTTTACACAAGTACAATAAAATATATTGCAATGCAAACACGTTTTTGCACTTAGTATTGGTTTAATTGTTGATTTTTTAGTTTTTTAATTTTTTAGTTTTTACAGTCCTTTATCATGTGAAATAATCATTTTTATATCGCCTTAGCGTATGTGATTAATTTTCAGCTCGAGCTATTGCAAATGTTCGGGTTGTTTTAAGAAACTCAAACTCAAACTTTCATTTAGAACTACAAATGATGGTTTGACTTTAAGAAAATTAGTTGTTCTTTTGATTTTTTGTGAAAGGTTTCTTCTAACATTTCTGGTAATCAGTTGAATAATTGAGGACTCTTTCTCCGGAGGGCCATTTGACGATAAAATTGTGAATTTTCACTACCACTTGATAACGAGATCACTCGACTGTAATGTCTGCATTATCTAACGGCACTCCAGTGCGATTTATCTCTTTCATAGAAATCGTTCATCTTTTTATTTTTATAGGTGTTCGAGAAGAAATAATGATGATAAATGATTTGATTCTCAGTGAAGCGTCATGGAAGTTAGAGAATTTCGATGAAGAAAAATGTGACGAGAATGTAATGGAGTCGGGTTGAAATTAGGTCGAAGCAGGTCGACGATTCTCGTTCTCATTGATCTCATTACTATCAACTATAACACGCTTGTAAATCATTGAAATACGGACGATTCTCTTCCTCACATTCTGGTATATTTCATTTTTTTCATCTATTAAATGTTCACATAAATCTAACCATTTTCTAGTAAAAATATAACATATCTTCGGTTAAATTACTCAGATTTTTAGTGTTTTTATGCCTAAATATAACTTTCGTTGGTAAATGGAACCATTTTATACCCAAACCGTATATGACTGCGACTTTGCATGCCATAGAAATCGTTTATATTGCATAAAGTGCATTTATCCATGTAAACCTTTTCAGGAAAAGAGCAATTTTTTTTTCTTTGTTTTGTGGTAAATTAATGAAAGTAACAAAAATGTCGGCGATAACTGATAGTGAATTTTGCGCTGAGGCAAGGCAACGTTTTACACATACAAAAGCGCTTTTTGAACAGCTCGAACGAAGCGGTGAACAATTGCCGTCGTTTTATTCACCACGACCACAGCGACAAGCACCACCACCTTTACCGCCAAAACCTGCTTTCCATCATTCTCCATCTTCACCACTTTCTCAGGTTTTATCTTGCTTTTAATTTGAGATTTTTTAATGAAAAATTTGTCGTAAATCAGCTATTAAATAAATTCATTAAAACAGCTTTCGAATGGCTTGATTTTATGGCTTTTGCACGTTGAAAAGAAAAATATTTTATGGATGAAATAAATTCAGAGATATATAATTGAAGGACTAAAATGGACATTGATTCATAAAATATTAATTTATTGTATTATATATTAATTATACCGGTAATTTAAATATTAATTAAATTGTTAATTTTAGTTAGTTGGCTAATAATTATAGTAAATTTGTAATTATTTAGGTGAAAACATCAAATTAGTACATTAATTAAAACGAATCTTTACAATTGTTGTAAAGTTTTCGTGTCATTGGTGCCAAGTTCACTGACATCAAACAAAATTTTGACCGCATTATCATTTTATATCAGCAAATTCATCAGAGCGGTTTGATTAGGAAAAAAAATTAAAACTAAAAATGGAGGGTGAAAAGAAAGAAGATAAAGATTATCCCTCAAAACAATCAACTTGAAAATTTCACTGAAAAATTCCTTAAGGTAGCAAAAAATTTCTCTGAACTTGTCTCGGATCTCGATCGCATATCAAATAATAATCGATCATCACAGCCATCTTCAACAACTTCAAAGGTCAGCGTCGATTCTGTAACAGGCGTCACCAATTATAACGGCACCATATCATTTCCTGCAAACCCATCAAATACCACTGTGGATATTGATGAAGTTGGAACAATTAATGCAACAAGACAGTTGAACCTCTACGAACCATATTGGCGCGATCCAACGTTCTATAAACGACGTTATGGACTGGACAATGTAATTGCGAATAGCGATGTGGATGAAAAGGTTGGTTTCCGAATTTATTGTTATCATATCTAAAGATAAATAATATAGGTCCATTCACGCTAGTAAAATCGATATAGAACCGATTGCTTAACATCAGAATAATTTTTGATATAGCTTTGTAATTGTTCGTTTAATTCCTTCCATATTAAAGCAAATAAATTAATGAGGTAAAGAGGAAAATAAGTGTGCGACTTTGGCTGGACTCAAAGCTATATAATTAGATCGCCCTCTTTTTACAATGATTATTTTAAGAGGTAAATTTTAAGAGGTGTTTGGGATTTAGGATTATCAACTCATTTTCGGTTGAGAAAGCCGGTTCCTGACTTTAAATGTCTTGGATTCACTCTAGTCTCAAATGGCTAGGGAAAGGACGAAATTGCAACGACAGCTAGAAGTATATTTTTTCGGTTGACGAAACTTTTATGGAACCGTATCGAAATCACCATAAAGACGAAAATCCCTGTCGTCCATATTATTGTAATTCATTCCACCTTGCTATATGGATGTGAAATATGGCAATAAGAGTAGAAGATATCAAGATTAATCTCAGCCTTTGACCACTCATGTCTAAGATTTTACGGGTACGTTGGATAAAACATCTTACGCGTACGATATCCATCTTCGTTCAAATATCACCTGTACAGAAAAAAGATTTTATAGCACTACGAACTTTCGTTTAGAGCACGATTCCCCTTCCAATGTTCTACCTTTACAAAAATTCCTTTTGGGAATCCGCTCCACTTTTTTCTGTACAGATTTAACTTTCCTTTCCTGCCACACGGAAATTTTCTTTTTTATCAATATTATACTCTGCAGCCAGTTCTACTTCTTACTTTTCTCGTTACGAACCTCAAACTTGGCTAATTAAACCTTTGTTAGTAAAGATGCAAATATATACAAGAAAATAAAGCGAAGTAATTGCCCTACTACAACCAAATAATACAGTCGAGGAAATCAAATATACAAACTAAATGCCCATCACTCACCCATCGCTCTCCCACTCGTTTTCCCTATTAAAACATTAAAAATGACCAAAATTGACCTTTTGGCAGCTTATATTTAATTTAAGATGGGCGGGAATCCGGATGATTTGATGATTTGATTTGATGATTTACAGCTTTTTTCGCCTTTCGACGACAATAGATCTATTATAATAGATCTAATAATTTATAATAGATATATCCACTCCCAAAAATAAGGAAGAATGTTGAAATTTTATGATTCATATTTCACTTTGGCGGACTCATTACATTAAGAATTTTCCATCCTGGAATTTTCGAGCTGGTTGCACTTATAAGGGTAAGACGGTCGAATGATATATTGCTTTGAATAAGTCCAAACCAACAAGGATTCGATTCTTATCCATTTACGGCACTAAACTTACATTAGAAGTAAAGTTGGGGTGGCGCTTCCATTTCCAAAAGATTCTCTGGCGAAGGTACCTCATCCAAAGGACTGGAGCCAAACCAGAAATAGTGCTGTATAACGAAGAAGCTTGTTGACGAATTGACGAGTTTCGTGAGTTTCTTTTCCGTTAAAAAAGTATCTTATCGTTATTTTTAAAGTATCTTAACGCCTCAGTCATGTTTATTCGAAATGAAATCAATATATCTTCATCTATCTACAAAACAAGGAAAGATAAAAATGAAAAATCACAAATAAAAATAAATAAATCGAAACTAAAAAAAATGTATAAGAGGTAAGAACAACATTTCAACCAATATTGGTCATCACAATTTCGTCGTCTGAAATTTTTGGTATTATATAACTCTCACCTCTCACTTGGGATCATTTTTGTAACCTTTGCATAATCGGTCTGTTCATTTCTCCCCAGTTGTTTCGTATTTTGCTCATTTTTGGACACTATTTTGACAAAAAATTTAAATCAAATTTATTTAGTTTAAGTTTATTCAATTAATTTAATTGAAAATACGCTTCAAACACCTTTTATTCTTTCTGCCAGTTCCATAGATATTAATAAATTAATAATTGACGATTAGATCATAAAGATTTTGAAGGCCTTTTCATAAAAAATATAGTAATATGCTCGATTGATTAAATTTTTTTGAATCAAAAAAATTGCTTCAATTCATCTGCTGAAATCCGAAATGTTACATAAACTTATTGGAATTGGTGCAGAAAGGCATCATAAATATCCCCCTTTAATTTGTACTTGCAGACCAGCAAATAAAAATTTTATTTGTAAAAGCAGTTAAAAACTGGAACGAACGAAGAACGGTATCGTATCATCTCATGATTTTTATTTGGTTTTTGTGGTTTTATTTTAATATCTGTTTAGGCCAATTCAACTTTACAGAATGCGGACATAGCAAGGTTTCTATTTTTTGTTAACAATTTTGTATAATCTTATGAATGCAACATGAAATGCTTAGAAATCACCATTTCTGGCTAGGCTGGCTAAGCTCTCGGCAAGGTAAGAAATTTGAGAACCACTTAGAGTAAAATCACACGCTTATTTCCATCAAAGATAAGGTGGAAATCTTAATACTCTGCATGATACTCCACATACACTCATTACTTGTACACAGCAAGACAAGAGATTGTGACACAATAGCCTTTTCCTTTTTCTTTCTACTTTTTAAATCCTCTCTCTTTTCCATCTTTCACATCTGATGTGCCGTGCTCGAACTATTTTCTTGCCAATAAATTTCCCTCATCTCTGAATTCTCCATTTCGGCTATACTGTTTCGTTTTACAACATTTAAAAGCATTAAAGCATTTAAAAGTAATAGATATCAGATGACCGAAAGGTACCAGAATTGCTATTATTTTATGCTTTAATAGATCTAAGGATGCTCTTACGCCACTTTCAGTCAGTCTCGTTAATAAGCCAATATAAAAATTTTTAAATATAATAAAAGTATATCATCCACAAATTTCGTAACTGCTGAATAATTCTATTTGAATAAAGCATATTTTTTCCGTTCTCATCTATAAATCCATATGAGCCCACAGAAAAGTAAAAAAAATATTCGCATTTCAATACTATATACAGTTTACTCTATAATATTCGCCTAACCTGGTCTTGAACAACTTCAGTTAATCAAGGAGCTCTCAATTCGCGGTCCGACATAACTTTCAAGATGGGAGGTTTCCATAATTTACATTATTCTTTTATTTTTCCCATAATTGGCATTAATCAACGATAAAATTTTGAAGCTATGTCTATATGTGCCAAAAGATTGTCAACAGAACTGTAAAGCATTCAGTTATCGAAGTGGAGAGGAAGATTGGTTAGTGATGGAAATTTTTTACGAAATTCCCGATCCTGCTGTCAATTATATCGCTATTGGATTCTCCAAAGATAATTTAATGGTATGTACTCGATATCCTAAATCTTTAATGTTTCTTTGAAACCCTGGAGAATTTCATATATTTTCAGAAATTTCTTTTTAGGGTGATGAGCCTGTAACTCACTGTGCATTCAAAGAAGGCAAAGTCGAAGCCCATTTGTCTTATAATTCGAGGAAATTAAATCGGCCACTATTAGAGGTTTTTTCTGCCTAATTCCTTGCAACAAATTATTTAGGGCTATTGTAAAAAAAGTATCCATAAGTCGCATTGTCAGTTCTTCTAGACAAAAATGCAAAAATATAACTTTCAATTTTACGACTAATGGTGCTCCATAAATATTGTAAATGTCTTCATTATAGAGTGAAAATGACAATCTGAAACTAATTGAAGGCCATTATTTTGATAGTAAATTTTATTGCAAATTTCAACAGCGAATAAAGCGCGGAAAGGACTTAAATTTGCCAAGCTTTAATGAGAATTATACTTTACTTTTTGCTCATGGAAAAACGGACAACTTGAAAAGTTTGTTTTTAAAATTTTTGTTAATATTCTCTGACATTTGTTTATTCGTTTAGAAGAGGTTCAAGACGTGCAGTAGCTATGCTGTTATTAATACGATTTCATTAACCTCAGTAGGCAATTTAGTTCAGATCAAATTTATGATAATATTTATCCATATCTGCAGTCTATTACTCTAGTATCAAACTTATGAAAGAATAAGAGAGGAATTGGTGCCATTGACGAGATATTGTGCAGGAAATAGTTAATAATTAGGACTACGAATGTATAAATAAGTTATTTTCCTGTTTTTTCTCGGTTTGATAATTCTGTTCGAACAGCTTGCAACAATTTATTTATTTTTAAAGAACTTGCAATTCACTCGCTTGACATTAATAGCGATGACTTTCCAACTTCTTCCGAAAAGAAATTTACGTTTGTGGAGAATGGCATTAATCTTCCTCTTCCAACAACTGTTTCATTCTTATCTCAAAAAACAAAAAAAACATTCGTTGCACTACATGGTACTTAGTTTTTCTACAATTTACAGTGGATCTACAGCGTGAATTCTTGACACCTCCAAGTTCTTGACACTATAAAAAAACCTCCAATTTTTATCATCATATAAGTAGAAAAGATATTCTGCTATCCAAAATGTCAAATTCACGAACTTTAACTCGAATTAAATTGAAAATAAAATTTAATTTGAACTGGAGTTGAACGAGAATTGAAGCTAGATATTATTCACCTTCGATCATTCATTTTGAAACATACAAATTCTTGGCAATTGATACATTTTTTCAGGTTTTTTAATGATAGTGAGTTGGTTTTTATTAATTGCATCCGCTATATCTGCCGCCCGATATCTACGAGATCATTGGCCTTCTAAAATACCATTTGGCTTGAGAATTTGGTTTCATGTAAATATTTCACTTTTCTTTCATATTATAACGGTTGTTTTATTACATAGGTGAGATCATCAAATGTATCAATGGATCGACTAAGGTCAAGGTAGCATGGGTTTGAGTTTGAGCTTTTTCTCTCGATGCCTATGCCTATTATTAAACGTCATCAAAAGTGCAATGCTGACGCTATGGGCATCCCTATATTTGTACTGCAAAGAGAAGAAGGAGTCTCATTTCTAGTGGATAGTGGAGCCAACCAAACGAGGAGTGGTGAATAATGTTGATTAACTACAATTATTTACTGAATTAAAAATTAATAAACTAATAATAATCAAATTAAACATGCGCGAAACCATCTCCAAAAAATTAGAAATATAAATACACATCTATTTACTTCAGATTCATCGAATTTTGAATGCAACTGGGGTTTGTTTGGTGATTATTTCGTGTTTTTTTATTTTCGTGGTCAAGGATTTCCGTTGGACGGGGCCAGCTGTTGGACATACTTTGGAAAGAAATCTTAGTTACGGATCTATTCATTCGCTTGTAAGTTCATTTATGATTTCATTAAAACACTATAGGCCTATCATTCTTTTTTTTCTGCCTTAAGCAGTACTCGCTGTCAGATTTTTTATTATTGCTTTTGAGATATTTTCTAAAATTTACGAATAAATGAAAAAAAATTCAAACATGCCAAGCATGAAATAGCGCGGGATATGCCGGGAAGTCATCAACAGCTTCTATTTCTAAGCTTCTATTCGACGAAAGGTTTTCACTGGAATAATTATTTGGGCCAATTAAACTGGTGAATACTGTTGGAAGCCTGAAATGTTTATAGTCATAATAGCACTATATTGCGACGATTTCTAGATAAATGAAAACCTTCAATTGACGCATATTTGTTAATCACCATTCAGGTCGGTGTGCTATCTGTAATATTAGCCGTGATGCAACCTTTTGGATCTTTATTGCGTTGTGCGCCAGACAATAGGTATAGGCCAATTTTTAATTGGTCACACCGTATTGCTGGAATAATTACTTTTCTTCTTGCCGGTTTGTTTTTGAGAATCTCCTACACAAGAATATAGATAAAAGTGGACCAAAATAGTTGCTGGATTATCATTTTGCACAAACCCCTTTCGTCTGCAGGATTGAACCTGTCATTGAAAAATCCTGGTGATGCTGACGAGTCTGCATTCCTGTCTTAAAGTGGTCTCCTGGCAAAATTATCATATCCTACTAGTGGAACGAGCTATCTAAATAATAGCATTTTTTTCATTCGGCACTTCTGAAATTTTTCTGAAATTTTTTAGTTTTAGTTGTTGCCACAGTAATCGCTGTGATATTTTTCAAAACTTTTATAAATCATCGCTTTGTTGCGTGTTTACTGCTCGCATTATATATAGCAACAATCGTAATTTTTATTACTGCTTCGGAGGTACTGCTATGTTTTTAATTTCCTACTTTTTATTATTTAATATTATTTTATTTATTAACTTTTCACAAACTTTTCAATTTTTTATTACTTTATTTAATCAATTCTTATTTTCATTTTATATAAATCTTCTTTGAATCCATAGAGTTAAATCGTTTCAACAAATTGTCTTTCAGCTTATTCTGCCAAGAAAGCATCAATGTAGCTTATCTACCGAGCTTAAATCGAAAAATAATGGACAGAATCGAGGCGAAATAATTAATGTTATAATGGCAAACAAGGATAACCAAAAGGTGACCGACTCTTTATCAATTTGCCCGGCGAAAAAAAACCAACACTTAAGCGTTTTCTAAATCTTACCCATCGTTTTTGGTTTGACTGGTTTCATTCACTGCCACGATGGAACTACTTCCCTTGGAAGTAGTGTGATTAGTTCTCAGGACCGCTCAGGTTTCACGACAGGTTCACCCCCATCAATGCGCATAAATCGAAAGTGCCTTCGGCAATCACTTAAATCTCAAAACTAAATACCACACGACCATCGACTTTTTAAATTAATTAAATTGTGCAGATTAATTTAGAATGCACTAAACTTTATGAAGTAGCTGAAATTGAGAAAAGCATAGCTTGTTATCACCGAATTTATATATTTTCTTGTCGAGATTTTTATCATTATTCTTCCATTTTTATTCTATCATTGTTTCCATTGCAGATGAGGATGCTGGCCGTTTCACTTTATTTCTCCTTTTGCATATTTGCTCTCGGAATTGTTGTGGGATTCGGTTTCATCATATTTGCATAACTTATTTTAAGATGCACAACTTTAGGCTAATTAAATATAAATTTACTGTTTCTTAAAAAAAAATTTTCCATAAAAATCATCTCTAAAAATTGAAAAACCTGTTTAACCAGAAAATAACAATTTAAATTTAAATTCGAAAAATATTAATGGGTGGAAGAATTTCTTCTGTGTACAAAAGATTTAATAAAATTTTTTTATTTTTTGTTCCTTTTCTAAAGAAAATTATGAAGAAAAGAAAGAACCATTATAAGATTTTTTTGAAATGAAATACATTTTAAATTAATTCAAAATAAAAAAAAAAAAAATCAACAGCAATCGAGAAAATGGCAATAATCAAAAGTGAAAGTGAAATATGCAAGATTTTATCTCTTCTCGTTGAAGATGCCAAAAAATAATTAAAAAATCTTAAATAGTGAATAAAGTGAAACGAGCAAATAGCTGTCACTTGATTGATCAACATAAATTTGTCCAGTTTATATCGAAATAAGTCCATAGGGATTCGTTTGGTCCACTTTATAGAAGTTTTCAAGATTTCTTCAAAATTCACCAAAATCACCACTTGGACCACATGCTCAATAACAAAAAAACTAATCGAAATGAGCCCCAGGAACACCCATTAATAACTTTTGAATGTTTTCGGTTAAACTTTCTGAAAAAAAGTTTGAATTAGCCTTGATTACTTCCTTTCAAAAATTTCCAAATTTGAAATTTAAAATTATATAGTAACAGGACGGTCTACTGCAATGATAAGCTGGGTATACTCCTCGATACTCTTCTTCTTCTAACAGTTCTCACCATTACTGGTTATATTGGCTCCAACGTCTAAGACGCTTCTGATACCATCTTCGACAGTAATAGAAGCCACTTTTTTTCCATCGTCTAAGTCCATATTCTGGTACACCTATACGTTCAAAATCTTCCTGATCGTATCAGTCCTGATTGGCCCATCTCGCTTTTGACCATCACATGGTTTAGTAAATAACGAAGTATGCGTCAACTCCTGTAGTGGATGACGTAGAACGTGCCCTAACCAGCGAAGTTGACGCTCTGTGACAACATTACAAATGCAAGTAGTGTCTGAACGAAGGTGAATGCGATTCATGTGATGTTTTATCCGCTCAACGGATCCATAAAATGTACTTTAGATAAGAGAGGTCAAAGGCAGATAATTTCTTAATATCCTTCATCTTTATTATCTCAGAGCTATGTAGCAACGAACTACAGCTATACAGATGCGAACTTTTATTTTAATGGTAATTTCACAACAGCTCCATAAAGATTTCGTCAACGGGAAGAACGCATTTCTAGCTGCATTTCTAGCCGTGATCGCCGCTATAATATCGTCTTTTGCCTTGCTATTTGGTACTAGAGTGGATCCAAGGTATTTTAAATCCGGCATTTCCTCAACCGATAATGAATTTATAAGAAGAGGCATTCAATTTCTTGTACATAAGACGAAAAGACTTTCGTTTTAGTTATATTGATCCTGCAGCCCGATTCTCGCTGCAGTCGCTGTCACGTTATTTAGTATTATTTGCATTTCGGCAAAAAGGACTTCATCATCAGCGTATTCAATATATTCAATATCAATATTTATGATGCTCTGGACTGATTTGCTGCCCCTTACCATTTCACTAATCGTTCCTCGAGCCATAGTTGCTTTATGAAAATGGAACAGTTTCCTTATATCGCCTAATCGAGCCAGCCTCTCCATTTTTAAGGCCATGTCACTCCAATAGTGATTTCTATTCCGCCGTGCTGCTTTCGTTGCAAATCTTCGAAATATCCGGTATTCAGGATCACTTGACATTCGTGCTTTTGCAGCTTTTTCAGACAGTTGGACAATTGGACAGTTCCGACACCTAACTAGCCCACTTCCTACTATGCCCTAGCGTGAAAGTGGCTTTCAGAGACATTCTTTTAGTTTGGACCATTATTCATTTGCATCTCGTCATAATTATTCTAGAAAAGTCATTGATATCTGTATCAGTGAGGTGCTTCAATAATTCAGTTTGAAATGCGCTCACTGTCCCCGAATTTTTTAGTTTAAGATAGTTGAAGAATATTGGTAGGTGCTATTTTCTGCGAGTAGTCAATTTTATACGGATCTTGGCTCAAATTATAACATGGTCAGATCCATGAAGAATGCCCATTTTAGCGTCGTGATGGGAACGACTATAAAGTACGGAACTCTTCCAACGGCGACTAATAATCAATCTGATTGGTTATCCGGGTAATTCTTCCTCGATATTCCTCGAAATTCGTTATTCTCTTAATGCCAAAATTCTACTATTTTAAAATTTAAGATTTCCACATTCGCCGAATCCCTACTGCATTGCTACAACTCCATCATAACCTTATACATCAAATATTACCATTAGGCGCTTTTATAATTCGTAGCTAGTGGTAAGAAACTGCGGCATATGAAGATTTCGAAAGGACATAAAAAGAATAAGAGGTGGTAAGGGATTTGGTCCAAAAAAGGAGCACTGGTGGACTGGGAAAAAACAGCTTTGTGGGTTAAAAATATTAAAGAAATCTGTAGAAATTTTCCATAAAATATATACGACTTCAAAAATATATGACTCGGAAATATTAAAAAACTTCAACATAATGGACGAAGATCTCGCAAGCCCTTGATCATCTTTTTTCCTATTCACGAATTTATATTAATTAAATTGATATTAATCAAGCATTTTAAATAGAAATACAAAAAGTACCAGAAAAATTAGATAATTTTTGAGGCTTATCCCATTTCGTTAAGAAATAGAACGGAATTCCGCATAAAATGATTCCAACACCGATGAATAATTCCGTAGGCTGACTTAGGAATGGTAAAGTAAGCAGGAGAATACATAGCAACAAAAATATAACTGGGAATGCCAAATGTAACTGAAAAAGAAATTAATTTCACAACGATGCAAAAAGATAAAAAGCATTTGAAATTTCTTCATCGATTGTGTCTTTAACAAAAAACAATATCGATTTATTCTTAAAACAGTCTATCAGTTAGTAAATATTCTTCGAAATAATTTTTTTAAGAGCAGCGATACGATCAAAAATAATTTTTTCCCGTCTAATGCTTATTCAAAAAAGTCATTAAAAATCCTATCCAAACAATCTCAATCTTCGAAGAAAAATATTATTGATATTTAAAATATTAATAAGAAATAGTATTAAGGTTGCAAAATCCATACCTTAATTGGTCGTTCCAGATCTTTACGCGTGAACCGCATCTTAATAAGCCCACTAATTGAAAGAGAAATAATACCAATCTCAGCGAATGATAAATAATTGATAAGGACAAATATATCAGATGAAACTAACATCAGAACAGATAAAATACCGAGAGTTATTAAAGCAGGCATTGGTGTTAAATAATCAATATTTATCATGGCCAAAACTTCGGGAAGTTGTTTGGCTCTGAAATATTTCTCCTTTATATAGAAATATAATTTATATCGATGACAAAAAAAGTAACGCCTCTATGGCTCAGTAGCAAGACAAATGCCACCGAGACTTGGGTTTGAATAAACCGACACTTCGTCGGGTTTTTTAGCCAGTAAATAAACTAACAATATCTAGAACTGAACTTTTGGTATAGTGATACGAGTAAGAATGGTAAATTACCTATTCAAACAGCTGGAGTTGATCGAAACTATAGTTACCGAGTGGAAGGAAGCCAAATTACATTTTACTGGACAACTACAAAACAAGAACTGCAGAAGTTGTGATCTGTTTATAACAGAATATCAGAAATAAAATTAAGTTTGAAAAAGCCGATTTTCGATATAACAGTACAACAGACAACTCGGCTAATGTAGGAACAAGAGGGTTGCAAATAAAAAATGAAGAACATCAAATGGTGACATGGACCGACTGGCTGACAAAGTATAATGCTATCGCCAATTTACGATTAGAAATGAACAGATTCAGAAAATAGCGAATTAGAAAATTATAAAAAAACAAATGAATATGTTGGTCGCGATATCCATAACTGCACCAAAATTATTCTATTCTAGATTACGAAAGAGTAATCTTAGCAATCTTAATAACTTAGTAACTTCAACCGGTAATGGTCTATATATTACGTTTTATCAATATAATAAGAGAACTCAAGATCATCATAACAAGGCGAATTCAACAGGTCCAATAACTGTTCAAGAAATATGACAGCCAAGGTCTTAATACAACAAGCTCAAAGAGAGAATATAAAGGAAGAAAATACCCACAAATTTGGCCTAACAGTTAAAATAGTGGGTGATAAAAGGAAAATTCAAATAACCATTAATTTTCTTGCCTAGAGAATATTGATTAATCATATTAATTGTTGTGGACAAATACCAACAATTGTTGCATGACTGACACAAGACACAACAGTATTCCGTAACCGAAATTTATTGGAAAAACCAAAACTATTGGAAGAATTAATGAATTTATATCAGCATATATTGCAAAAGATGGAAGGCTAAACAGTTTGAATTGAAAAAAAGAAATTTCCACAACTATGAATTAATCGGAATTTATATATATATATATATATATATTTATAAACTTAAAAATTATAAAATAAAAATTTGGATCGACTTGTTCATACAACCAATCAAGAATAACTGCAAAGCAATCACCTTACATAGATGAAATAATTAATAATTATTTTGACCAATCCCACTCCAAAATCGCAATAGAAGTTGGCTCGAATCATATCACAGATCTAACTCGAAGCTCCGAGAGCAAATTACGTTCAGTATCATTGAGATTGGTCAATAAGCGAATGATGAGACACGACTAATCAATTTAACAGCTCCATTAGAGATAAATGAAGGCATTGACAATTCTGGGAATAATTCGAATTTGACTATTAAACGGGGAGTGTGCTAAAAATGAGCAAAACACGATTCAATAGATCAGAAATTAAAAGTCAGTAAAAGTCATAGAAGTGATCCCCAATTAAGACGGCTAAATAAGACCAACAATTTCGATCATAGATTAACAACATATATTAGCCGAAGGATGGATGTTAAGCTAAGATTGCTTCATTTTTAAGTTTTCGTTTATTTTGTGGCATTTTTATCGTCTTGTATGATCCATACTGTATTTTATCGCGATTTAAAATAAAATTTAATTATTTAATTTAATTATTTAAATAATTTAATTATTTAATTACTTAAAATTTAATTACCCAAGCCTGAGCGATAGGTTCAGATACTTTTAAACGGAAAAGTTAATGAACACAAATCATGAAACAATTGAGAGCCTTTTTTCTTTAAATACGCATTACAGTTGAATTAAATTTTTAAACTAAATAAAACTAAATAAACTAAATAAAAGAGACAAAGAATAAACTACCTTGCACCAACAAAAAAAATTCGACTCGATGTAAATATACTTCCGTTGAGTCCGCCAATGCACGATATTGCAACAAAAAATGGCATTACTTTTGACAAAGGTCCAAGAACATAATCAGCAAAAGTTATAGCAATTGTTGCCGATTCCATTATTTCGTCGACAGGAATAACAGCGAAATATGCAATATTAACGAAAACAAAGATAAACATGACTACAGGTATTGAAATTAATATTGCCATTGGTAAATTCCTTGAAATAAACGAAAGGTTTATTCCGAAATCAATTTCGATTTCATTTTAATCCTACTTCATTTTTTGCTTACTCTTTCTATCATATCGCAGCGAATGATGTCGAATCAGTTGTGGAATTATTATTAGATTCATTCAAATTTCAAAAAAATCCAAACCTATATGGATCTTTCAACTCTTCTGTCACATAATTCAAATAATTCCTGAAATAATGAATAGATCACATGAAACTTTCAAACTAGCTTGATATCTGCGCAAAAAAAATCAGTAAAACAAAATCCTCATGAAAAAAACGTCATCTCTTTGTAAAATAATGTAAAATATAAAAAAAATCAAATACCAGCCACTATATGAAAATGCACCAGAATAAAATGCAAGTACCAATTGACCAATTTCGAATTTCGTTCCATAAAAAAGCTCAGACACCTCAAAATTCTCTGTGTTTCCTGTTTTAAAAAATATATCAAAATATGCCCGCATATAATAGATTCTGAAAAAATGAATTGAACTAAATTTTTATTTAAAAAAATTAACTAACCTCTCAACAACCAAAAGATCCCAGCAAAAATGATCACAACAAGAGCAGCAATTTTTCCAGCAGTGAAAATACTTTGTACTCTCGTTGACCATTTTACACTATAGCAATTAATCGCAGTTAGCAAAGCTGAAAATATGAATACAGTTTCGATAAAAGCAGATATTTTTTTTCTTGACAACGAATGATAATTTTTTAAAAATAAAATATGATAGAAATTCTAAAGAAAATCTGTCTGTTGAAAAAAAATTGCAAAATTTGGCAAAAAAGACACGCTTAAATTAATTTATTATTTAATAAACAAGGTAATTTAACGTTATTTAATAATTTAAAATTTCAACAATAATTACTTATGGTACACGCTGCAAGAGAGCGAACTGCGAAATCTGATGGATCGCAATGTTTAAAAAACGGTTTAGTGGCATAATGAGCAAATGTTAGAGCCAAAACAGCATTCGATGCTGGATTTACAATTATAAGCGCTATCCAAAGGAAAAGAAACGACGGCAAAGGACCAAAAGCCTGAAAGCAATGGTAGCAAAAATATATGAAAACTTACCGAAAAAAACTGATATATTGCAGGAAGAATAACAAATATCTTGAAAATTTCGATAAAGAATTTCAATATACAAAGAGCTGTAGCTAAACTCGTCCTAAAATTTCTTAAAAATACAGTCAACGTTGCATGATCTTTAAACTAAAAAGCTGAAAAAAATTTGATTATGCACTTTTTGTTAATTATTATTGGTTACTGCTGTTAAAAACAAGTGAACCTCATAGATATAAGCATAATCACCACCGCTTTTCGGTATTGTTGTTCCTAATTCGGCATAACATAACGCTCCAAGTAGTGCATACATTCCACATAATACCCATACTATTAACGCACTACCAACACTTCCCGTCTCATTTAGAACACCTAAAATTATCGCTCTTACAGATGCTTCATCAATTATTTGTTCCCAATTTATAATTTCATTGGAGCCGAGCGGCTGTAAGCTCAGATTATTCTCTTCAACGTTAAGGTTTTGCACCTGACAGGAATAAAAATGTCCCTTTTTAAAACAGAAAATTCGAGTGATCTATGAATCCACTACAGATTCTATCCAAGTGACTCCCTGGTAATAACTGCTTAGCCAATAGGGATAATAAAACCAGAAAACGTGAGCTCTAAGCATTTTTGTAAAAAAATTTACGAAGAAAATTGAATGACTGACTATATGGCTAAAAATTTTTAAAGACTATGATCTTCACTGCTAAAAAAACAAGTGGATGGCGATTAAGAGAGGCAAGGGCTGGGATCCAATAACTGGCAGCATCTGCCGTCATCAGAAAGTCCGGACGGTACGATCGAGCTCTTCTTCTACTCTCAAGTGACTTCTGGACAAAAATTTCTGACCGTACCCGCTGCCGAATGGTTACGGTAAATTTAGTCAGAAATAATGAGCGATAAGCGTATAGAACAATCAGTGGTCTATTTTTAGGAACATTACTGAATTGCAAGCAATAAAAAGTGCAAAAAAGAAATACAAAATAATTTAACAAAAAAAATAATGTCCAACGATAACCTTAAACGAAAGGAAGAGAAATTAAACGATAACCTTTCGGACTGATGAAAATACCTGAACCGACAATGATTCCAACAATGATTCCACAAGCTTCGAAAATGGATATTTGTTGCTTTAACCGAACGCCACGATCAGCCGACTGTGCGGCTGATTTGCTGCTCTGCGACATATAAGCCTAAATGTTAAAATAAAGATAGCAGTGGTGGTGCAATTCAGGGAAAACCTCCGACACGGCTAACTCCATCATGAAAGACGATCGGTGTGATGGCTTTTCCATCCCCAGGCGACACTCCCTCTCTCCCCGGAAATTCTTCTTAACGAAATAACAGCAATGTGGCTTGTCTACAGGGAAATGAGAGCACTAATCGGAGAAATTTAGAAAAAACATCCCCTTCGTTCCCCGAAGATGCACCCAGCAGCTCAATTCAGCTAAACAACACGAAAGCCCGCACGAACGGCCGTCCCTCTCCGCGAACCATCAGCCAATTGCCAAATTTGGCTAAAACAGGCAAACAATTGTGCCTAATTACAAGAAGGCTGAATGCTAATCACTAATAAGCGGATATAGTGTTTATGCAAATCCGCAGCTGCTTCACTGCTATGTATTTTGCTGAAAATCTTCGTTCTTGGCAATCTTCGTAATGTTTCCTTGAGTGGTCGGTGATGAATGAAAACGACAATAAAAGTGCGAAGAGTTGACCAATAAGTTTGGCATTGCTAAGAACTTAGAGGCGACTCTCTGGCAAAATGGTTTCGTCGCAAACAGCGAACACAGTTCGCCGAAGCCAAATGAGTGGCGTTAGAGGGAATTTATTAATTTAAAATATAAATAAAGAATATAAATGAATAATGAATAATATTAATGGAGAAAATAATGGACATTTTGAAAAATATTTCCTTTTTTTTACGAAATTTTTGTAAATATTATTCAAATTCCTAAAATTTCTAACGAACCAATAAATTTAAAAATCAGTTGATAAGGCAATGAAGAAGGATGAATGTCAGCAATGAAAAGTGAAAAAAATGGAAAGCAATAAGCAAGTTTTCCGTTAAAAACTAGTAAACTAACGGAGTTGTCAAAAATTTTGAAAATTTATCATCGCAGAATGACAAGTCAAAAAAAAAATTAAGGTCAAATTTAAGTTGGCTAATATATTTTTGAGATGTTAATAACGAATTCAGCTTTGAAGTTTAATTAAACTGAATGGAAAAAGTTTTAATTGAAAGAACGCTGGAAAACAAAAAAGATAATGGAAGGAAAGGACAAATATAAAGAGCACTCTTCGGTTATGCGGACAGCAACAAGTCTGATTTATTGGTATGCAAACAGTGGAAAGGAATTGGGTATAGAAGGAACGAACCTCACTGACATCATTTTGCTACGAATTAAACCAAGTAACGGCATTCTAAAGCAATTTCGCCATATCTGATAAGATTCGAAATCACAAAAAATATTTGTATTATTAAGCAATTTATGTAACCTAAAACTCGAAATCGATAGATTCAAGGTCAACATGAAGGGAATTTAGGTTTTTTGCATTAAAAAAGGCCAAATGTCTCTCTTCGCTGTAGCCAGCGGGACCATTTTTAGCAGCAATGGTGAGATTATCGCCAATAAACAAATTTCATAAAAATCCGTTAATTAGATGAGATAGCAATTTGCAATTTAGAACAAAGGCAATAAATGGTTTATATTCGATGATAAAAGGGGCGAAAACAATTATTGAAAGAATTATTTGTTGATAAAAATCCGCTATGCCAAATTATTTTTGTTGCGAAAATCGGAATTTTACAATCGGAAATCGGAACTTTGAATGAAAAATTCTGACAGTGCAACCTTCTATACCTTCTATAAATTTCCATTTAGACTACGAGAAGCGAAAGCGAGTGGGTAGAATTGACACTCTGCTAGCAATCAATTACAATTAATTCTTGGATCGTCGACTGGTGTGTTCCTTTGACCAAAAAACAAGCACACTTGGTTCGATTCGCGTTTTTTGGTAGAAGAAAATTTATCAATAAAAATTCATCATGAAATTCATATGATGGTATGGAATAATCCGTTCTTTTGTCTTCCAAGTAATGGTCTTTTACGAATGGCCTTCTTTCTAGCAGTGAGTAGAGCCAGCTGGGAATGGCGAGTTCGTAGGCGAAGAAGTTCAAATTCCACCACCCAAATCGAAAGCCATGATATTTGGTTACATAGAGCTTTAAATACAAGGTTGTTGAGATATTGCGATTTGCATCAGATTGCACCAGTTTCTGAGGTTACATTCTCTGGGAACAAAATATTTCTGGCGTATCTGTATCGATTTTGCTAGTTATCGGATTTTTTTATTAGCTATTATTGCCTAATTATTTTTCAAAAAAAAAAATAATATTTCATTTCATTATAAAATGAAATCAGTTGAAATTTTATGGGCCCACCAAGCGTCCATTTCGCTGTACCTCTTGCATTAATAGTACTACTACCACCTTCGCCTTCGCCTTCACTCGTTGGTTGGGCACATTCATCGCCCACCACATGACACATATTTCGCTATTTGCTAAACCCTATGAAGGATGGCGCCAAAAGCGAAGAGAACCAATTACAACTTGGATAATGAGAAAAATTTTAATGGAGGCGGCGGCCTGGATAGGTGATAATAGGAACTATTTCGCCTTCTTCACAACTATAGCTCAGTGAAATGATATCGGATATTAATGAGGCACCTGTTAAGACTATTAAGGATCGTCTCATAAGATGGAAAGAATTTTTTGAGACCAAATTTAACCATCTGTTATCCTAGATGTAATTGATTCGCTCGTAAGTTTGCAAATGCAAACTCCCAACAAAAGAGGAAATTATTTCTATAATCTATAAGCTTAAGGCTCGTAAAGTTTCCGGAGAAGATGATCTTCAGGTTGAATTCTTCAAATTTTGTCCATAACTCATCTTCAACAAATATATTCTCTGGCATGGCAAAAGGAAATAATACCAGAAGACAAGAACAAAGCAATTCTGCTTCCAATTCCAAGATGACAGAACTACTGCGACAATCAGAGAAGAATTAGCTTACTAGACGGATATTCACGGAAAAACTTTCACTTCTTTTCTGCTAACTAGACTCATGGTAACACGAGATAACAGAATGCGTTCTAACCAGACCGGGACCGGGATGCTGACCAGATATTAAGAAGGATGCTGGAATATTGCTTCACTACCAACACTACCAACCCGCAATCACTTGTTTTATCGATTTTTCAGCTACCTTTGATTTGATTGATAGATCAGCGCTCTGGAAAGAAATGTGAATGCGACGGTGTCCCAGAGATTCGGCTCAAAAATTTTATCAGAATACTCTGGCGGAGGTGTCAACGACTGCAGCGATAATTAGACTCAAAATCAATGTAAATAAATAAATAAAACGAAAGTATTTTCGTTTTATATCGTTTTATATGCTGATAAAATACCTAATTTAGCCAATACATGCCGATTGAGGAAGTGCTTGATTTTAAATATCTTAGATCCATTCAATTCCCAAATGGTCGGAGGAAGGATGAAATTGTAACCTGGATAACGACAGCTAGAAATATGTTTTTCTAGTTGACGAAATTTTTATGGAATCATTGCGCAATCACCATAAGATGAAAATCCGCGTCCATTTAACTGAAGTTCGCTCAATCGCTATATGGCTGCGAAACATGGCCAATGAGAGTGAAAGATATTAAGAAACTATCAGCATTTTGACCACTCATGTCTAAGATGTATTTTACTGGTTCGTCGAGCGGATAAAATCGCACATGATCGCATGCATCTTCGTTCAAATACCACTTGCATTAATAATATTATCACAGAGCGTCGCCTTCGCTGGTTAGAGCATGTTTTCTGTCGTTTACCACAGGAGTTGACGCATATTTCGTTATTTGATGAACCGTGTGATGGTTGGTGTCAAAAGTGAGGATGACCAATAAAAAACCTGGACTAATACAGTCAGAAAAGATTTTAAATGTATAGAGAGACGAGCGATATACGGACTTAGGCGATAGAATAAGGAATGGCTTTTTTTACTGCTAGCGATGGCGTCGAACCGAGCAGCTTGGAGACGTCTTGCTCCTATAGCCAGCGGAGCTAGCTTAACCAGTAATGATGAGAGCTGTTAGAAGAAAAAAAAAAAAACTAAACTAGAGATCGGCTGTTTTAACAATATTTTCAAAAAAAAGGATTTTGGATATTCCTGTAAGTGGTCAAATAATTTTTTTAAATTTAGCTTTAGAATAAAGCTTAAAATTAATGTAAATTAGTTTCGAAAGATATTGTACAGCATATTAGTATAAAAGAAAATACAAAAGAATGTAAATAAATAAGCCAAAACCAGCAAGTTCATTATTTTCATAGGAAAAAGTTTTTACGATAAATAAATTATCATTAACATGAATACTACAAATGAAGAATTGGATAGTCCAGTAAATGGGAAGGAAATTGTGATAAGTATGTATTTAGATGAAAAACAGCTTATCTTTGACATATCGAATCGTTTCTTGGTTTGCCTAAATTTTAAGAAAAATATTTTCTGAAAATAGTCAAAGCCGATTTTTATGTAAACTTTCATGTTGCCGATGTCCTTTGTCAAATATCTCAGAAAATGATGAAAGTGATGATGTCTCAAGAATTTTGATCTAGAATAGCTTCCTGCGGCCATATTTGTTAAATTAATTAATGATGGATCAATCCCTGATTACTCGACTAAGATGATTTTATAATAGGGCTGCTACAGGAAGAGTGGAATGTTGCTTCAGCTGATATTGAGCACCTTGGCTTCGATTTATTTTTATCTCTTGACTTTGAATGAGTAGATAAACCTGATATTAAAAGTAAAATGAAATACAAGTGCTATCGTGTATCCACCATACTTTTATCCCTAAATGAAAATTATTTACCAAAGATTTAAACTTTTGAATGTATATGGTTCAAATGAGTATCGAATATCAACTCGTACTTCGAATGAATCGGCTAAATAAACCAGTGAAACCAGCCAGATCAGAAAAGAAAAATATTAGCATAAGAAGAAGTCATTTCCAATACTTTCGAACAAATAGCAGTGATGGAATAAGAATTTTTATTACTTTTGTCTTCAGTAGCTTCCAACAAAGTATCAAATATAAAAACTGGATCTGCTATCACGTCCA